AGGATGTAATTGAGCAAATGATAGTCAAGTACTAACAAGCTTTTCTTTTCCATTTTGCACACATGTATCTGTTGAGTAAGCAAGTCACGCTTCCTATAAAAAGGGGTCGTGGTAACTGATACACAAAAGGTTTGAAAAGGAGATGATTCATTTTACAGTTGCTCGCTCTTCACTTGATACCTGACAAGAAGAGGACAAACAAGGCTTATATGACCACAAAAAAGATATAGGTGTCTCAGGATACAAAGCCTATATGACTACAGAAAAGATATAGGCGTATCAGGTTACATGAATAAATATTAAGAGGCCGTCTGTTGCACGAGCCTGAAAACGTACCGTCAATCGTTGACTCCAATTGTGCCCAGGATGATACCAGTATATTAAGAAGAATAGCACAGACCACAAAGATCTTCATCGTGATGATAAAGTGACGAAAGCGAGGGTGCTAAATTTCTGTTTTTACTGGAATGTTTCTTTCAAAAAGGATTCAACGTTGAAAACGTGAGTTGATGAAAACACAAGTTTGAGATTTCTATGCGTGCTGACTTGATGATATCGGAAATTTGGCTTACTGCATACAAACATATGTGTACATAATAAGGCTACTTACTGAGCGAAGGAGTGAGAAGGCCTCACAGTCGCGTAGCATGTCACGCAGTACAACTTGCGAACCGCCCATACCACTTAGAAAATCAAATCAGTTTGTAAATGACATTGTTTCATGAAGTTTAAAAAAAGGTTGAGATAATATGAATCTTTTTAGGAAAGACATGGTGCTTGCATATCACGCAATTTCCACACGAAGCACACGACCAACGCGCGTGTCGCTTCTACTCGAACACGACGATTGAAAATTCAAAATTTAAATCCTCCGGCTTCTGGTTCCCGCTTTTTAGAACGATTAAAGTGCAATAGTATTTCTGCTTCACTTCTGAAGTAAATCAATAATACGTGCTTTAAAATTACAGGCGTTGGGAGTAGGGCATTTATCCTGATATACCAAACTACACTCCTTCAATGTCGGATACTCAGGTCGGGCTTGTCACGTGATAGGCTGTGAGGCCCTTGCAGCACCACAAACCAGGATCGCTAGTAGTTTGAGTCATTGTATAGAGCTAAAGTATCCAACCTAACTCAAATGAAGCATGTCGGACCATTTAGGTAAGCAACCTTACATACCTTACAAAGCGTATCCGGACATCAATCACCTTCCAAGGAACCAACTGCAGGGAGGAAAACAAAAAGCGTTTCATGACATCTTTGAGCACGCAAAACAAAAAGCGTTTCATAACATCTGCACGCAAATAATAGCATCGGGTACATTGTTTTGTTGCTTTACAGAAGACATGGAAAACTGTCCAATTCAGAAATTTACTTGTCATACACGTCTTCTCCCACACCCAGCTTCGGATTCTTCTCCAGAAACTCATTTTGCGCGTCGTCAGATTGATACACACAAGAAAGCTGTGGTTTGTCGTTTATATCGCCTACGTATGCCCACGTGTTGTTGCCATTTTTACACACATTGACCTGTTATGAGAGGAATTATTGAAATCAGAGTATAGCAATTCCAGTTCTTTACGATATGCATGCATGTAAGATGTTCTCCATGACAGTGCTTCTCTCGGCGTTCTCAAAGCAAATTCGATTATCATCCTCCACATTAATCATGAGTATCTCTGCCGCCCCACTGCAACTCTCACCTCCTCGTCCGTTAGCAATCCCCTGCCTTGCAGGGCCTGGACTACATTGGCAGCACGCAAAACGCAACCAGGCTTCACATCCGCCTGCGTCACATACACATCGAAAGGATTAAACGACACAAATATTCGGTTGTCAAGAACCAATGTACTGGCACCGTAGCGCTGTAATAAGAAGGAAGACGAGAGGATGAAGGTCATGAGTCATGTGGATGGATGCAGTCTTCGACACCCGGAGGCACGTCCTCTGTTTACTTCTGGCCTAGTTTCACCCATCTCTTTTACCGGACCTGGCAAAACTTAGGGTTGGGAGCGTTCTTATCGATGGCATCGCGAGACGCAAGGTCTTTCTTGTTTGTGTTAACTGCAGAATCGACAGTAACACCGGTGCCAACACCCAACACAAATGTACCCAAGAGCAGCGCAGCGCTCAGACCCTGCGGTATCCATGATATTCCGAATGGTAATCTGTTCTTCCCGACTTCTGTCTCCCACAATTTGTTTTATGATACACGTGAGTCGAGGCCAGTACATGTACTGAGCGTCACTACCGTGTACCATACTACTGTTTTTGTCTACAAATTGTCATTTAACGTATTTTCAGCATTAATTTCCGCACACTTACCTGGACGGCCTCTTGAGAAAGGAGGAGGGCGGACTCTGTCTAGAGCCGGGGGACGCATTGCTCGATATTCCTCTTCTTCATCATCGCCTTCCTCGTCCGCATCCTCGCCCTTCCGATTTACTCGACTGCGTACTCGGCGGCGCCGATTGCCTTCCTTGTCATACATACTCTGCATAGATATTTTGGCGCGTCTTCCACTCCTTGGATCCATATTACATATTGGTAATGGAGCACCAGAATACACACGCCTTACTTGGCAGGCGTTAAAAAGTCGAGGATACAAGAAACCTCGACAGAGCCGCATACAGCAGCCGTACACGAGTACGGCTGCAGCGATTCGCCGACAATATGAATCACTGCAACGATGCCGCATGCGAAGAGGTATTGATGGGCGTTGCAGTGGAACGATGTGTGTGCTGAAGTTGATGTTGCGAGAGGACCAACGCAGCGAAGGCTGAGACACTCGGAGCCGCCACTGCACCAGAGCGAGAAAGCAGCGACGCGCGGAGAGCAGAGGGAGACGAGGGGAAAACCCTGTGATGATAGCGTGCCGGTTTTACAATTGAAACGACAAAATCCTCGCACGCTATTCATTGATGCTGTTGTAAGTGTGAGTGACTCCGAGGGAGAGTACATGTTAGGTCAACTAGCACGCTCGCGGGTCTCCCCACGACTCGAGACTTTCGTACAAAAAACTCCGTATCGCTCGAGCCCCGCCTCGCTGCGTCCTACTCAACAGCTGTAGCGTCTACGAACAATACTTACCCGCTAGCTAGAAGTACAAACAATCTTCCGTGAGACAGCCCTCTTGCTTCTGGTGTATTATCTGTGCCTAACGGCTAGAAGGCTTGAGAGACGGAGACAATACTGCGGCTCCTGGCTGTTTCCACATTTTTCCTTTCCCAGGTATGAATGACCTGTCGTGAAGGGGTGAACTCAGCCAAAGCTATCTAATCTAACTGTGTTTTCATTCAACCTTGTGGCTTCTCTCGCCTCCTAAGAATTGTAATTCAACATGCTCCTCCTTCCTGCCCCCCGTGACACACATACTTTCGCAGCGGGCTGTACGTTTGAGGCTTTAGCAGCATTTCTATATTGATAAGACTCTGTACGGAAATATGTGATGATAAAAGTTTATGAACCGCAGCAATCCCAATTCTCAGCTGATACTTGATGTATCCATCTCCCCCTCTCTGCTGCATAAGCAGTCGTGATCGACCCATCAGACGACTGTCGCAAGGCTTGGCTTTGCGGCTCAAATCAATAATACCTGACCTACAATGAGATTTCGAAGGGATCTATCGCTTCCGCTCTCTTTCTGCAGGCTAGCTCGGCTGGCAAGCTGCATCTTGCTGATGATAATGCTACAAATGGTTCCAGCCTCTCGGGATGAAAGACAACTGAGAACCCGTTTGAGTAAGTGAGGACTATTCTCGGAACTTGTACAGTCACGCCTATCACAATTTATCGCACTCAATCAAACATAATCGGAAATGGCACATTTTACCATTCAAACACAGCCGAGGCCCTTGTGGTGGTCAACCAGTCTCGGGCCATCCAGCAGCTAGCCACGAAGCTTAGCGCGGAGATCAGACGTGAGGTCAGTTTTGCATTGATAGGATCACAATCTCGAAGCGCAGCCAGGGCAGTGTTGGGCGTTCTTACCGATCGCAGAGGCTGTTTGCACTGGAATTCGTCTCAGGCAGAGCCGGACGCTTGGGTGACGTCAAGAGCTAAAGTGCGTGATGCCATTGCGCAGGCGGCTGAGGTCCGACGTACCGATGGAGAAGTTGTTCTGGTGGTCGAGCACATGGAAAAGTTGCACTGTGACAATATTATGTACTTGAATAATCTCATGCTGGCTATGGATAGGTCAACGGACTCAGGCGTCGATCCCTTGCCCACCACCTTGTTTTTCCTGTTCGAAGAGGACCCTCCCCCTGGAGTATTGATGGATGGGGGGGTTCGCAGCCACTTGGCGGAGGGAATCGACGAACGATGCCGCCCGGGGCCTGAGCTGAACCTAAAAGCTTTTTTTGGCCGTACAGTGCCCATTACATTTTTGCCTGTGCCTGATGATGTGCCAAGGGACACCCAGCCTCTTTGCAGTACCATACCACTCAAGCACGACAAAGCCTCGTGGGCATCGTCCTGGTTATCGGATAGTCACTGGAGCCTGAACCTGACGGGAAAACTTCTGGTAGTGGCAGCCATGGGTTGGGTTGCCAACGTTTGCGTCTCTGCTGCACGACGACGGATAGTGGGCAAAGCAGTAAGTGTAACCACGTCTGGGTCCGAAATGGAGGGAGGTGAATCAAAGAATTGCAGAGCTACTTTGGAAACCCTGACCTCTGTGCGTGGGGGCAAGCGTGCGGTGCATGCGCCTCGTGGCTATGAGAAGGCCGCAGTGGCTGGTCAGGGATTCCTTGTCGCGGACGACACTCAGAGCATGAGGAATGCACAGGAAGCGAAAGCCCAGATGTCATCCGAGTATGAAAGTACCGACGCGCCAAGATGCAGTGTGCGTCGCGTGCCGAGGCGTTCTTCGCCGAAAAAAATCTTCTAGACATGTGGCAAGAAAGATGCGTATCAATAACTGCTGTCTGATACGTATGCACGCTTCAAACTATCTTGCGTTTTAATGGTATGCTCTGTTTATCAAATTTGAGACATAGAGCACCACCTTGAACGGGACCTCAAATAAGACCAAGCGCGTCATCATTACTTTTTTCCTTGTAACATTGGCTATGCTGTTGCATGACTGGACTAGTGATGCGATTGTGAAGCTGTGCTTTTGTTTTTTCCACGAAAGCTCTCCACGTGCTTCATGAGGATTTATACCTCGCAAGATTTACACTCCACACAAGCTTCCGAGGTACGCGAAAGGGGTGGTATGTCTCGTCACTGCCCTTCGGCAGATGTAACATGCCGCGATCTCATCGTCTCAGCTTAGCGGGGACTCTCTTTCGTCCATCTCGACACCAGTAGAGGACGACTTGAAAATAGACGGCCCTTTTTCACAAATGTAGACGTAGTGCACACTTCCACCATAACTTCCATCGGCAAGATCCCCATCGGCCGGGTTAGAGGAAGAAGGGAGGCCATCGAGTTGAGCTTTTGGCACTGTGTGTACACTGACTCGCCACGAGTAAGCCTCTTCTTGCAGATACTGCAGGCGATTTTCGGGAATGCCATAAGAAATAACAATGAAGATGCCGTCAGCCTTCAGCACTCGAGACACTTCCATGCACATCATGGCTCCATTATTCAGAGATCCATTTCCACACAGAATAGAATCTAGCGTGCCCTTATCAAGAACCACATTAAAGGAGGCGTCGGGGAGGTTCAAGGCACACGCATTCATGTGCTGCCAAACCATACTGGTCTTTCCTCGGTGCGATTCCCGCATCTGGTTCACAACTACACGTGAAATGTCGATATTCGTGATGTGTGTGAAGCCATCCTCGTACATGTCCTCACTCATTGAGGAATTGCCGCATCCGGCCATCAAAATAGAATCACTCTTGCGAATATGTTGCTTTAATAGACCCTTCAGACCGCTGTACCGCTGATACCAATCAAATGGCTCTGGATCCCTACAGGGTGTGTGCATGAAAAAGGAGTGAAGGCGCGCATCGACGAGGCATTCTTGGCACTGGGACTTACGTGGTGTAACGGCTATCCCAATAGCTAGCTCGACCATAGCACTGCGACATAGGATGCTGCTCGGATAGCACTTGTGCGACTATCATATCGTAAGGCAACGATGCTTAAAAGGTGAGTCAAGAAAATCGGCGCAAACCAACGACTTGTGGAAGAACAACGTGCAGCAGCGTGAGTTGTTGAATGCAGTAGAAAAAATAGAAAGATTCTGAAACACGGGTTGGAAATTAGTAATGCACTGATGAAAGTACTTGGAACGAGCAAGCAAAGCCTTTCCAAAGCAAGTCTACCCATCGCTCTAGCTCTTTGCTTTCGTAGCACGAAGACACAAGGAGGAGAAAATGAAGGTAAAGAAGCGACGCACGTAGGAGCAGGATCACCACAAGTAGTACAGCAGCCACCCATAAGATAATATGCTGCGGTACTGCGCATTCTCTTGGCTGGTGGGCCCTTGAAATAACTTCCTCTGTCCCAGGCGTCGGGGTCATCGGGCGACGGCGAGACTCGGCGAGGCGGCGAGTCTGAGAGCTGACCCGCCACACGTGCAAAATACAATATACAACATCGAAAATTGACATCACGAAGCTAAAGACATGAGATGATATCATATGTTCGCGGGGTTCGCTGTGTGTCATACGCAAAACCTTTAGCAGTGCTCTCTTTTGCGTTTCATGTGTGTCCGGTGTTTGTTTTGTTCCTTACTTTTATCTTGATAAGGGAGGAAGTGCAGGATAACGGGCGACGAAAATGAGAATGTACAAGTGGCTCTATCCTCGATATGCTACCTTCCAGTCATACAAGATACCAAATAGTAAAGCAGAGACAGCAGGCAGTAAGAAGGCCGATGATGATGTTGTCTCTCGTCTTTATTCGTTGGATGGCATCCACCACGCGGCTTATAGACGGTAAATTATTAGCCAGACCCGCAAGACCGCTGTTCGCCCCTGTCAATGAATGCCTCTGTGCCCGAAGGCCGTCTTTCGTTTCCATTGCTTGACTCAGTATGCTGTCGACGCCGCGAAGTGAACTATGAATCGCGTTTCTCTCCCGCAACAACTGATCCATTTGAGGATTGCCCCAGTCAGCACCATTCTTCGTTCCAGTATTCGGCTTTCCTCCTGCTCTTGTACTAAGCAGTTCTGCTGTTTCCCGCTTTCGCTGAAGCACGGTCTGACTTTTTTGAAAGTCATTGGCGTAATAATCCAAGATTTCTCGATATCTCTGCAGCACGGCCGAGCTGGAGGGTCGCGCTCCGTGAGCGAGCATTTGGCCCATCGCCTCATTGCATTTTGCTAGCTAATGTGTCAGCGTGGTGTGGCACACGAGACAAATCAACCTTCATGAGGAATTCACAAACGTTTATCAAGGGACACTACCATAATTATCTGTCATACCCCAAATTTGATGGATCTATGCATGATTGTAAATCTCTTACCGCCGCAAGCAAACTTTCGATCTCCGCGACGATGTTCAGCTCTTCTGAATCTTGCAAAAGCGGGTTTTCTGTAGTTATTGGAAAGTTGTGCGCGCCGGGTCATCGCTTGAGCTCCAATTGGCTGTATCTCCGGAAGCGCGACCTTAACGCGACCAAAACCTCACCTTCATCATGACGTGTGTCTCCATTGCTACTCTGTGCCATCAACGAAAATTTCTGGCATTTTCCCTGTAGCGAATGAGGAAGAAAGCGAAAGGCTTCGTGACTGAAGGCCTAATAGCAGCAATTATACGCGCCGCGAGTCCGTGGACAAGCTGAAAAGGCACGTACCTCCAACTTATTCTCAATTCCACGAACTTTACGTTTCAGCTCGTCCCAATCCGCCATCGAGAAATTTGCGAGGTAATGGTCTGCAGGAGATGTTGCGGTGGCGGTGGATGCTGGGGGGGACTCGCGTAAGGATGTATCACCTTCACAATACTTCTTACCACTGATGTATCCCCCACCGATGCCACCTGAACTGCCACTGCTTCGCGCCCGAATGATGTGATCGAAGCGAAGTCAACGGCGCAGAGGTGGCGCACTCCAGGTGAATGTCGCCTCGGCGATCTGAGTACGTGTACGGTGAAAGCCCAGAATAAAAATACTACGTCAGGCAGAATATCCTTGTTACAACAACGTAGAAGTAGGATATGGTCAAATACATGGAAGAGCACGACCCTTTCGGCCATGATGAGGAGAACAGACTTCCCCTAGTGCACCACCAGTTTAATTCGGATAGAGAACAACTCGAAAAACTGCTCCTCAAACGGAGGAATGGTCACCTAATCAGCATACAAGAAGTTGTACTTGAGCATAATCCCTCACATGCCAGCGTGTCGCAAATGAGAGACTAGGAAATGCAAGGAGTGCGACTGCGTGAGGGGCGTTCATGCCTATCTTCCTCCGAGGCAAGTCGCCGTTCTGTCACGGTGGTGCGGTGTGAGCGATCGCGTCTCGGAGGGAAACACAACTTTACTGGCTACAACATCTGAGCACTGCATTCTTATCGTTGAGAGGGATAATAAATGCATAGAACTTGGAAAAGTTTGCGTGCGCAAACAGAGGGACCAAAGGGGTGGTGCAACATTCCAATGATCGAGCAACGAAGCTGCTGGTGAAAGGCGACAGCACTGAGAGCGACACGATTTGTCTGCCGCATTTTTGGACCAAGGCGTCACGCAGAAGGTGTTCAATTCTATCACAGAGCGTAAGCGCTGTAGATTCACCGTTAAGGATCGATGCCTGTGCCTCAAATAAGGGTACAACGAGCTTCTTTAGTGGTTCTCCAGGGTGCAGAAACAGGGAAGCCGCAAATCATTAGCCAGCGAGCGTTTCGTGCTACCCTTTCACATATAAATTAATTATCGTTTCACTGGTCTCTTATTTTTAAAATCCATTGCCAGAGAACAGTCCGGAAATTTTGTTTTAGTAGTGCACGGGAGAAGCCCTGTCCTATTTAGCACAGTGCCCCCCCAAAAAAACTCTTAGAAATCCTTTGCAGCCGAAGCTGCGGTCAGATGACTAGTTTATGAATTGTTTTGGCATTACTGTTCTCTGTTAGCAGGTCGCAAAGCAAAGCGAAGGATAGATTCACACCTTTTCACCTCTCTTTCTTCACCTTGCAGGCGGAGGCTTGCTTTCCGCAGTTGAGCTACAGAGCGTTCTATGCATCTGCACAGGTTTACGGTAAACCGGATTTCGTTGCGCTTAACCGTGGCGTGTGCGTGCTGTTGTGTCTTTGCCAATACTTCTGGAACAGCTGTGAGCGCAGCCTTTGTAGCGGTCGGTTTCTCTTCATCGGTTTCATTCCGGCTTGCGCCTTCTATCGTCCCGTCGCGGAATCCACCGGTGCTCGGTATTCAGTCTGGAAGCGCAAGGGCGGGTAAGGAAAGACGCTGCCACTCAGCTACCTCCATGAGCGCTTTTGCTGCTGGTGAGGACATCGAAGTCGGTGATGGAACACTGCTCCATTTTGTTTGGGTTCCGGAAGTCAGGTCTACTCAGGATGCAATGAGGACGCTGCTCGCAAGCAGCCGCCGGGACTCGCTCTCCCAAAAAGGAGTTGACGCCTTAGCGCTGAGTGCAGGGTCCCAAATTCAGGGTCGGGGGACGAGCGGCCGCGCTTGGATGGGCGGCGCGGGGAATATGTTTTTGACTGTGGCGCTTCCAGCGAGGACCCTGTCCGCCCTGACGTACCCGATCACGCTGCTTCCTCTTCGGATGGGAACGTTGATCGCACGGGAGATTGTTCGCATTCTGCCCCACCCCGAGGCTCAAGCGAGAGTGCAGCTAAAGTGGCCCAACGACGTGCTACTTGACGACGGGAAAGTGAGCGGCCTATTGATCGAAATGGACGGCACATCCTCCTACTATCTTGTCGGCATTGGCGTCAACGTGGCTCAAGCGCCTCACGTACCATCCTTGGGCGCGGATCGCGGCCGGCGAGCGGCCTGCTTGGCGCAGTGTGGCTTGGAAGGTAGGGGCGGAGATACAGCCAGGGACTTGTCCATCGCCATCGCAGTCTCCATTACTACGTGGTTAGGGGGGTCTCAGGAGGATACAGCAGACTCTGTGATTGCAGACTGGGAAAAGCTTGCGACGTGGGGGAAAGTGTACGATCTTCGGGACGGTGGGGCAGTCGTCCCATTAGCGCTGGAAACGGATGGAAGACTGCGCGTGAGAGACCTTACCTCCGGGGCTACACGTCTCTTGACGGCTGAGTACCTGCATTAAACACGTAGACACGTTTAAATATAGACGTGTTTCTGGAGCATTGTACGCAAACACGGATATGAAATCCCTTGTGAATAGAATTTGTAAAGCGACACACAGTACGCGCATTGGGGCAATTCGTGTCAGATGACATTTTCTCCCGTGTACAGATACAACACATGCTTTCTCTGAACGAATTTCTTGTTGCGTGGTTCAAATGCCTTATTTTTGGACACGACATAATATTGTCCACCAGTTATGAAGGGATTTAATAAATAAATAAATCCATCTAAAAGCCTTGCAATAACAGGCGGTCGCCGGACAGCCACGCGTTGTTGTCTCAATTGCTACACTTCATCACTCGTTTAATCTCATTCAACGAGCATTTCGTTTCTCCTCCAACTGTGAACAAACTGCGTCGTGGCTCCAACACCAAGAAGTGCCCTCCTTGTACTTAAACGCAGAAATCGGCGTGATGAAAGGCGGCACCTGACAATGGAGATGTATGTGGGCAACTGGCGGGAATCGAAGAAGTCGGTAGAATTTC